CCAATTAAAATAACTTACTATGGTAATACTGAATAACATTTTTTCAATAAAAAGCTTTCTATATACGACATGCACAAGGCGTTTCAACAGTAGTATCCTAGAATCAATGTAAACGACAAATTTTATTTGAAAATATTTGAGCAGTAATTTTTGTTAAGGTTTAGATTACCTCGAATTGACACATGCTGCACATGTAAGAAGTTAAAAGATAAAAAATAAAAATAAATATATAAGCGAAATTTTTAAGACTGCTGTAGTTGTTGAAAAAATAGTTCATATTTGCAGAGCCAAAATGTTCTCCAAAAAAATTAAAAAAAAATACACAAAAATTTCAACTAGATGATAAAATAGGAAGGATTTGTATAGATTATATTCAAGTTTTGCAACTTCATTGCATACCAGTTCAAGAGACTTTTTACCTCAGGCAGCTGACCGTTAGTGTTTTCTGCATACACAACTTTCGAGATAATAGTGTCAAATTTTCTTTGTATCATGAAGGAGTAGGTGCAAAGAGACCTGATGGAGTTTGCTCCTTTTTATTAAAATGTATAAAAACTCTTTGCAATAATGTAGGAGTTGCCAGCATATTCTGACGGGTGCGGGGGCCAAAACAAAAACCACATCTTTGTTAGGCTATGTTCTGCATTTGTATCACTAAACAAGGTTAAAAGTGTTGACCAATATTTTCCAGTGAGAGGTCACTCTTTGTCTTCTTTGTGATCAGGACTTTTCTGTCTTGAAAAAAAAATCAGGAAAACTAATAGGTTTTATACCTTAAAAGAGTATTCTAATTATCTTTATACCTTAAAAGAGTATTTTATACCTTAAAAAAGTATACCTTAAAAGACTATTCTGACATCCTCCAAGAAAAATATACTTTCTGTTATCATCTTAAAAATATACTGACATTGCTAATTTTAAGAGCTAGTGGCCTCAATTTTATAAAAAAACAATATCCGATGAATCAGTTGGCGCAATGTGCCTAGGAACAAAAAAGTTATATTTAAAAGCACTTTTATTCATACAAGCCACAAAACTGTAAAAAGAGAAAAGTAATTAGCAGAAAATATATTAATGGGCTTCAGTTCCAAACAATTTTTTTTGAGAAACTCCAATAATTCAGTTCTTCCTCATCCTTCAGCCAAAGCCTATCCGGATGGAGCAATCCCAATCAACACTAAGAAGATTGCTGACATATATAAACTTATGCCGAACATTTCAGATGATGAAGATATTAAAGAGTTTTATGACCAGGTTCTGACTTGACCCGCTGTAGACAAAGCTAGTTCAAAGCTTGAGTTACTGTAGTTTAAACATTACCTTACAAATTTTCATCAAAATTGATGAAAATTTGTCAGGTAAAACAACATTATTTTATCTGTAAAAAGTTTCTTTCATGGTGCCAAAAAGTAATATATTATACATAAATATGAGTTTTTAAACACCTTACGTTGCCTATACGTTGTCTTTATTTTTAGAAATTCATACCTAAAATCAGGGGCGGATTTAGGTATGTGGTGGCCCCTGGGCGGAATATATTGTGGGGGCTCCTTATAAATGAATAAGGAAATATATTTTTTTACTTATTGAATAATATTTATTATTATGTTTAGTAGTAGTAACACTAGTAACAATTAACTACTATTTAAACTCTCATAAAAACACTCATATAAACTCGCTTCAATTTATGACGATCTTCTTCCATTTTTAAATTTTAACACTATTCACTGGTTAACTGCATACAAAATAAGTTTAACTGAAGCATAAAACAAAAAACGCCAAAAGCTTTACGTTATAAGTGCACGAGATTAAACTAATAAACAAGAAGTCGTTGTAAAATACACTTATTTACTTTATAAAGAAGATAGCGTACGTATTTTATGACTTTTTGTTTTATAACTTAATGAAAAATCACATAGCAAATATATATAAAATATTTTTTCAGTATTCTTATTTAAATATCATAAAATTGTGGGGGCCCCGAATTTGTAGAGGTCCCTGGGCTGCAGCCCACTTAGCCCTCCCTAAATCCGGCCCTGCCTAAAATTAACTTTTTCTTGCTTTTCAAGTTTGTTCATTTCAGAAACAACATTAGTCAATCAAATAAAAAAGTCCTAAAAAGATGTAAAGTAATTTTTTTTTCAAAGTATCCAACTTTTTTTAGTTAGAATTAATTGTATTTGAAAGTTTTTTGAAAATCATAAACACTTTTTATGTAAAACTAAAATATTTATTCTCATTTCCCAAAAGTTGCTTGTTTTGACTTATGACCCGTTCAAAAATATATGTTTTTGCTTAACTTATTATTTCTTATTAATTATTTTTCGTAGCATTATTGTCGCATTGTTTTGTTTTTTTCTAGGTTGTAAAGATTGGAAAATCAAAGAGTTTATCACCTTTTACTACATTTATCACCTTATATTAGATTTATCACTTTATATTAAAATTTATTTGATATTGATTTTTAAATTCATTACTTTCCATTTTTTAATTTGCATTGAAAAATATATGACATTTTTTGTTTAAAACGTTTATTTTTGTTCTTTGTGTATTTTTTATTGTTTAAATTTAAACAAAAGTCTATTATTTTGTTGTGTGTGTTTCTCGACACAAACATGGAAATACAAGTTATTTCCCAGCAAGCACAAACAACGTTGAAACAACGTTGAAAAACCGTTAAAACTAATGGTTGAAAAATGGTTGACTTTTGGTTAAAATAGAAACGCATATCAACGTTGAAAACAAACCAAAAAGCAACGCTAAATTAATGTTCATTTAGCGTTGATTCAACCAACTTATATACGAGTTTAATAACCTTAAAACAATAATTCTTCATAAACTTATAATAGCTGTCATAGTACAATATCTTATGCTATTGTACTACACATCTTGTTTTCAATTGTTACAGTTTTAGAACAAAAACTTATACATAAATAAAATTATTTTCAAAACGATTTTGATAACATAATGATATTGTTATCTTCATCATCAATATCAAGTTCATATGTATTTTTATTGCCTTCCGTCATCAGACTCATTTTGATTTGATTAACGCTTTCCTCGATCCAATCAATATGGTGTAAACTTCAAATAGTCTAAATTATATCTTAGTGTATTGTGTCTTTTTATTTAAGAGCATCGGGTAACTGCATCTAAATAAAAATATCTTTAAAGTAAGATACTTTTGTACATTTTACAAGTATTATTATACTTCATATTGTTCACAAACGAATGTGAACATTAAGTGATCAATAGTGGGAAAAAAACAACTCATTACTGATCCGTGACTAAATTACTTCATTATTGACCAAGATATCAACTTTTTTGAATAAAGATGCATTATAAATCAACATCATACATTAACGCATATACACATACTTAACACAAATGTTAAAAGCAGTTATACATCGTCAAGTCAAACATTCGTTTAGTAGAACCGTTTTCCTTGGTCTCTTGAAGGGTCAAGATATCTGTAATTAACTGTATTTATATATACATATATGATACAATTATATACATTTATGTATATAATTATATATATATATATATATATATATATACATATATATATATATATATATATATATATATATATATATATATATATATATATATATATATATATATATATATATATACATATATGTATATATATATATATATATATATATATATATATATATATATATATATATATATATATATATATATATATATATATATATATATATATATATATATATATATATATATATATATATATATATATATATATATATATATATAAATATATATATATATATATATATATATATATATATATATATATATATATATATATATATATATATATATATATATATATATATATATATATATATATATATATTAGACTGCTTCATTTTGAGGTCATGAAAAAATTTTAAGTACCATGGAGTGTTATCTGCTGCGTTGACCTTTATTTTTTTAGTAGAACTTTTTTTTTTTTTATTTTGACCACTTGTAGGGGTTGCTCAAGTGCCTCAAAAGTCATATTTTAGGTTTTTTTACCCTTTTTTAAGCCCATTTTTTGCACGTTTGAGCAAGTACTAAAACTCAAAAAAATTGAATTTTTTTTTTTCTAGAGTTTTTTCTAAGTTAGAATAAAAAAATTAAAATGCATGGTAATTTTATTTTATTGAAATAATTTGTGTAAATTTATCTACAAAAACGCAAAGTTATGTAGATTTTTACCGAATATTACGCATTGCAATATCTTTATGGATATGTTAAGCCATTTGGAAAAAAAACCTAACTATGTTGCATAAAACATCTATATATAGCATTAAAGGTCTATAAAAACTTTATTATATTGCATAAAACTTCATAAAATTACATGAAACGAAAAAAAATCTAATTATATTGAATAAAACGTCTAGCAATTTTGTTTAACAAATTTCTTTATAATTAAATTTCTATAAAATTTACAATTATTTTTTAAAAATGTTATGTTATATTTTTATATTGTTTTTTTTTTTTATTTTTTTTGGATTTCTTAATTTTTCCTCTATACTTCCTTTTGTAATTATGCAAAAATAAAAGTGAATCCTGTCTTTTCTCTTCTTTTCGGGCAATATCAGTTTTGTCTTTTATGAGTTTAACGATTCTTTCCGAGCAATCATTAACAACTGAAAGGTTAAAAACTGCCTCCTCAAATTTTAAGTAGAAATCGTTGCAAGTCTAATATTCTGGAGGAGTTTTCATCCATTGACAGTCACTTTTACTTTGGCGTATCATAAGGAACAATAGCCACGAATTTTCTGTGACCAAATGAACTAAGCTGGGAGGCTTCGGTCTATTGAAGTCTAAAGAATTGAGGACCTCTATGTTAGCACTTATTCGGGCTAACGGATATTCATCTATACTATGAAATCCATAGCTGTATAGTTTTTGAGCAATATCACCTCTTTCTTTACATTTTTCATCAGCTAGAGCTAGTACAATAAGGGTAAGGGTCCAGAAACCATGTATGGCGTTTGATAGATTTAATGGCTGATTTTGCCCCAATCAAATTGTACTCCTTAAACCTATTCATTTGCCAAAACGCTCTCATATCCTGGATAAAACAAAAAACTGTTAATCTTTCTTAAAAAAAAAATTATTTCTTAGATACTTTTAATAGTTATCAAAACTTTTTATTCAAACTAGAACCCTTTTATATATATATATATATATATATATATATATATATATATATATATATATATATATATATATATATATATATATATATATATATATATTTCAGTAATTTCATGCTTCAGCCATTTTTCCAGACTAGGTATAGCATCCATCATAAGTTGGAGTTTTAGGTAGTAAATACCTATAAAATTTTTTTTTTTTTTTTTTTAATTTTTTAAAAAGACTAATATTTGATAATGTGAAACAAATTCCTTTTTTTTGCAACTTGAACCTTTTTTTATCATGAACCTACAATTCTTTACCTTTTGCCATAAAGCTGGCATGGTGGACTGCTCCGGGAGTACGAAATTTGTACCTGTCCTCAGAAAGCACCATAAGTGTAAGCTCTGCCAGCTCAATGTAGTCCTTCCTTGTAGCCCCATCCTAAAAATGAAATAAAATAATAAGTATTTAGGTATAATAAAATAAGCCTATTTATATTTTAGTATAATAAAGGATAATAGAATTAAAAAAGAAAAATTTATAAAAAATTTTTAACATAAAAGTACATACTACATAGATACCTACAAATTCAGATATCTAGTTATTGGCTAACTTTTTTAGAGACCCACTGGTGATAATATTTCTGCAGAACGTTATGCTTTCATGCTTTTGATGACCAAGCCATGTTTCCTCTGGAATAGTCAATCTTCTCAAAACCTTATTTATTCAAAACTTAAAAAAAAAATTCAAAGAACTCAAAATTGGAAAAAGAAAATTATTTGGAAAAAATAATATTTTACAAAATAGTAGCTAATTTTGTAAAAACCTACCTGGTTGTCTGCGTCAAGATCATTCCATGCTGATTTTAAAGTTTTAAACAGCAGATTATCTGGTCCAGAAGTAATGCTACTTTGATAATTTTTCCAGAAATGTGTAGCTCATTGACATGATGTCGGCATGCAATAGATAGAACTGGTTGTTGAAAGAATTCATTTACCAGTAAAGATACAGCTCAATTTTTTTTTCCAGCGTTGATTCTGCTAGTATCAAATGTTACAGCTTGTATATTGTCTGTAAGGTTAAAGCTATTTAAGATATCTCTGATTACATTTTTTTGATTTTCGCCAGTTCCAGAAGAAATGGGTGGAATTCCCAACAGGTGCATTTCCTTGTTAGCGTTTATTAATATTGTTAATCGATCTTGTTCCAATTTTTTCCCATCAGTATATTCATGACATACTTTTCCATCAAAATGGAGTTGAACTAAAATGTTCTTATTAATTTTTCTTAAACTTCTTAAATCATCCTTGATCCTCTTTGATTCATCATGAATGACCTTATCTGCAGCGCGTATTGCTGTAGAGGTTGAAGATTTAAGTTCAGCTACATTTCCACCTGATTTAGGGATTATACTATTAATCATGGAAGCATGCTGCCTATGACTTATTCCTTCCCCAACAGCAGTATCAGCAGTTCTTTTGAGAATATCTTTTGGAAGCATAACAGTATTGGTTTTTTTGACTTTTTTCTTTAACTCTGGATCTGGGTATGAAAAATCATCATTACCTTCATCTTTCTCCGATCCATTTGAGCTGAATTCACTCTCTGACATGGTTTCATGCAAATTTGATTTCCTTTTAATTTTGGATAAGCTCCTGTTTACAGAGTAAAGGTACCTTGTATCGATTCCACCTATTCTAGTTTTTCTATCTCCTAATTGGTCTAATAAAAATGCAATATCTTCAGTCTTGTCTTGATCCTTTCGTTTCTTATCAGCTTTAATGATTGCAACCAGAGTATTGAGCTCAGGTGCAATCCAAAAGATACTTTTCATCTGAGTTAAAAACCTCCTCCTTTTTTCAATCTCTGATAAAGTTTGTCTTGCTTTGTTTTTTTTTAACAGTTTCCAGGTTCGGATCAGCTTCTCTATCTTTATACTAAAAAATGTGATTTATAGGTTCGGTATATTTTACAACACACCTATTTCTGTTTATTAACTTATTTAACAGCAGACATTAGTTTTATTAATATTTTCCGCTAATAAGTAATAATATATAAATAAAAAAAAACAAATACAGTCTGGTACCTACCTAATTGATTGTAATTGTAAAATCTGAAATCCACCCTTCAACCAAGGTGTAATTAACTTTGAAAGAGTGCAGCAAATATGTTTTTCATTATGGCAGCTGATTTTAAAGTTTTTTGTCAATGGACAGTGGATAATTCTACTTTTTTTTGTTTTGGGTACTTCTCCTTCAAATGCAAGAAGTATTGCAAAACCTCTTGCTTTGAAGCAAACTTGTCTCTTGGTGAGGATGACCTGGATTCCCTTACCAA